TCTTTTTTGATATTTATAAAAAATATCGCGTAAATCTGTAATGTTTAATATTCAAGGTAGGCAAAATTAGTTTCGACTTAGTCAGTTGGATATAACGTAAAATAAGACGAGAAAAGGAAGGATTTTGAAAGGGGGGAAAATAAATAAATATAAAGGAAGATAAATGCGAATACTCGATCGAGCGAAGAAATGCACGAATGGGTCGAGTTGGGAGATTATTAGGGATGGTGTGGAGGATAGGAGAGAGTTGGAATGAGAGAGGAAACGCGAGGTTTGAGGGGATGCGTAAAAGGAGAATGCATAGGTTACTAGCAGCCGACGCCAGTATCGACCGGTCGCGCTACGCGTACATCTACACCCCTTGGCGTCTGGGACAATTCCTCTCCGATTATTCGATCCATCAGTTTACCATTTCCTCGGAGAGAACCGAGTTGGACGTGCAAGCTTTTCTTCGATCCATCCGCAAACAAAGCTTCGAGTTTGCGCGACAATCCATTAATGCACTTTACACCGATTCACTCTAATCAACCGTATAATCACGAGCTTCCTCGTATTTTATCCCCTATTATATCTTTACGTTGATCTTTTATCATTTTTAGATGAGCGATAAGATTGTGAAAATTTTTCCACATTATTATATGCTAAAATTTAAACGCTTGTTCATTCGTTATAAACCACGCTTTGTTCATTGCGATGAATTCGAAATTGTTTCAATTTAGAATTGTTTCAATGCAAGTAAACGTAAGTAATTGTAAGAGGGAAAAAATCGTATCGGAAGATTGTGTTTAAAGCGGTAATGGAATAAGCGAGTTTAAAACGATTCGGAACTAATTTTGTTTCTCGACACAATCGTTATGAATCGTGGATATCGCGACCAAGTTAGGACATTAGTGAAAATCAGATATCGTAGCTCTCGTATGGCAAATACGATCATACGTTGTAAATGAGCAATGTTTTAGGAGTAAGATGGAGAGAGGAAGTTGAGACAAGAAAAAAAAAAAAAAAGAAAAAGAAAAAGGAAATAAAAAGGCGAAGGACCACGAACCGTTGAGTTGTAATCTCTATGGATTATCGGGTTCAAAAGGCTTAATGCACAAAGGCCGCCCAAGGCAGGTGGATGCGGTGAAGTTGGAAGGGTGTGTCTCGGAAAAAAAAGCGGATGAATAGCGGTGAAACGAAAGGAGTGCGCGATAACTGTTGATCTCTCGCCAACTCGTACGTCCCTCGGACACTGACAGAAGAAACGAAATAAACGCGTGACATTATCCTTGAAAATAATAATAAGACTCGGTTATTTCGATGTTCGACACGATGTGTCGTTAGTGTTCCTTTAATGCCAATCTCCATTCTTGTTTCTCCAATTATTCGTATTATCTCGTCCAATACAACGTGCGTTTAAATTTTACTCCTCTCTCTCTCTCTCTCT